CTTCCCGCTCTTCCCACCGCCATTCCTGACATTCCTGGTGGTCCCACCGCCATTCCCAACATCCCCACCATCATTCCCAACCTTCCCAGTGTTCCCACTGCCATTCCAAACATTCCTGCTCTTCCCACCACCATTCCCAATGTTCCCGGTGTTCCCACTGCCATTCCCAACATTCCCAGTGTTCCCACCGCCATTCCCAACATTCCCAATGTTCCCACCATTTCTGGTATTCCCACCACCATTCCCGCTGTTCCTGGTATTCCCACCATTCCCGGCATTCCCACCATTCCCAGTATTCCCAGTGTTCCCACCATTTCCACCATTCCTGGTGTTCCCCCCATTCCCAACCTTCTCAGTATTCCCCCCATTCCTGGTGTTCCCCCCCCATTCCCCATGTTTCTCCATCATTCCTGGTGTTCCCCCATTCCAGGTGTTCCCCCATTCCCAGTATTTCCTCTCTCATTCCCAGTATTCCCCCCTCATTCCCAGCGTTCCCTCATTCCCGGTGTTCCCCCGTTCCCAGTGTTCCCCCCATTCCCACTGTTCCCCCATTCCCGGTATTCCCTTCCATTCCCAGTATCCCCCCTCATTCCCGGTGTTCCCGCAGCGCCTGGACGTGGGGGCGGAGCTGATCCGGTTGGGATTCGCCGTCCCGGTGCCCCCCGAGGAGGATTCGGGGCCAGGATCCTGCAGCCCCCCCACGCAGGACACCCCGGTGAGCTGATCCCGACATTCCTGGGATGTGGGATGGACATTCCCGCTGCCCCACCGACATTCCCGGGATGTGGGATGGTCCCGGTGCCCCTGGGAAATGGGACGGTCCCAGCGGCTCCAGGATGACTCTCCCGGCTCTTCCCGGTGTCCCCTGGGATGTTCCCATTGTTCCCTGGGATGTTCCCATTGTCCCCTGGGATGTGGGATGGTCCCACTGTCCCCTGGGATGTGGGATGATCCTGGTGTCCCCTGGGATATGGGATGGTCCCACTGTCCCTTGGGATGGTCCCATTGTCCCCTGGGATGTGGGACAGTCCCGGTGTCCCCTGGAATGTGGGATGGTCCCAGTGTCGCCTGGGATGGTTCCAGTGTCCCCTGGGATGTGGGATGTTCCCACTGTCCTCTGGGATGGTCCCGGTGTCCCCTGGGATAGGAGGAGGTCCTGGTGTCCCTGGGATGGTCCCAGTGTCCCCTGGGATGTGGGATGGTCCCGGTGCCCCTGGGAAGTGGGACGGTCCCAGTGTCTCCAGGATGACTCTCCCGGCTCTTCCCGGTGTCCCCTGGAATGTGGGATGGTCCCACTGTCCCCTGGGATGTTCCCATTGTCCCCTGGGATGTGGGATGGTCCCACTGTCCCCTGGGATGTGGGATGATCCTGGTGTCCCCTGGGATATGGGATGGTCCCATTGTCCCCTGGGCTGTGGGATGGTCCCGGTGTCCCCTGGGCTGTGGGATGGTCCCACTGTCCCCTGGGATGTGGGACAGTCCCGGTGTCCCCTGGGATGGTCCCGGTGTCCCCTGGGCTGTGGGATGTCCCCAGTGTCCCCGAGCTGTCCCTGGTGGCCCCTGGGATGTCCCCTGGGCTGTCCCTGGTGTCCCCTGGGATGTGGGATGTTCCCAGTGTCCCCTGGGATGTTCCCATTGTCCCCTGGGATATGGGACAGTCCTGGTGTCCCCTGGGATGGTCCCGGTGTCCCCTGGGAAATGGGACGGTCCCAGCATCTCCAGGATGACTCTCCCGGCTCTTCCCGGTGTCCTCTGGGATGTGGGATGGTCTTTGGTGTCCCCTGGGATGTTCCCAGTGTCCCCTGGGATGGTCCTGGTGTCCCTGGGATGGTCCTGGTGTCCCTGGGATGGTCCCGGTGTCCCCTGGGATATGGGGTGGTCCTGGTGTCCCCTGGGATGGTCCCACTGTCCCCTGGGATGTGGGATGTTCCCAGTGTCCCCCGGGATGTCCCCGGTGTCCCCTGGGCTGTGGGCTGTCCCCAGTGTCCCTGAAAAGTTCCCAGTGTCCCTGAGATGTCCCCAGTGTCCCCTGGCCTGTGGGATGTCCCCGGTGTCCCCTGGGCTGTGGGATGTTCCCAGTGTCCCTTGGAGCGTCCCCAGTGTCTCTGAGAAGTTCCCAGTGTCCCTGAGATGTCCCCAGTGTCCCCTGGGCTGTGGGATGTCCCCAGTGTCCCTGGGGTGTCCCCGGTGTCCCCTGGGGTGTCCCCGGCTCTGACCCCTGCTGTCCCCCCCAGGACAGTGTCACCTCCACCGCCAGCCTCGTGTCCGACCCCCCCCGGAGCGCGGGGGACACCCCGGACACCTCATCCTGCCGCAGCCTGCCCGGTGAGTCCGGAGGGGACATTCCTGGGACAGCATTCCCGGGAAACCCCCCTGACCCCCCCTGCCCGGTGAGTCCGGAGGGGACATTCCTGGGACAGCATTCCCGGGACAGCATTCCCGGGACACCCCTCTGAGACCCCTGCCCCGTGAGTCCAGAGGGGACATTCCTGGGGACATTCCTGGGACACCCCCCTGACCCCCTGCCCGGTGAGTCCAGAGGGGACATTCCTGGGGACATTCCTGGGACACCCCTCTGACCCCCCTGCCCAGTGAGTCCGGGAGGGGACATTCCCAGGGACATTCCCGGGACACCCCTCTGACCCTCCTATCCCTCCTCCCGCAGATGCCACCAGCCCCGTGCCCAGGGACGCCGTCACTGTCACCTGAGGGTGTGTCCAGGGACCCGGAGCTGCTCCCGGTGACACCGTCACTGTCACCTGGAGCATCTCCCTGTCACTGTCACCTGGAGCTGCTCCCTGTGACCCTGCTGCTGTCACCCGGAGCTGCTCCCGGTGACCCTGTCACTGTCACCTGGAGCATCTCCCTGTCACTGTCACCTGGAGCTGTCCCTGGTGACACCGTCACTGTCACCTGGAGCATCTCCCTGGGACCCTGTTACTGTCACCTGGAGCTGCCCCCGGTGACACCGTCATTGTCACCTGGAAGTGCCCTCGGTGACCCCGTCACTGTCACCTGGAGCTGCTCCCTGTGACCCTGTCACTGTCACCTGGAGCTGCCCATGGTGACACCGTCACTGTCACCTGGAGCATCTTCCTGTGACCCTGTCACTGTCACCTGGAGCTGCTCCTGATGCCACCATCATTGTCACCATCCCGGTGACCTGGAGCTGTCCCCGGTGCCACCGTCACTGTCACCTGGAGCTGCCCCCAGTGACACCATCACTGTCACCTGGAGTATCTCCCTGGGACTCTGTCACTGTCACCTGAAGCTGCTCCCGGTGCCACTGTCATTGTCACCTGGAGTATCTCCCAGTGACCCTGTCACTGTCACCTGGAGCTGCCCCCGGTGCCACCATCATTGTCACCTGGAGCTGCCCCAATGTCACCATCATTGTCACCTGGAGCATCTCCCTGTCACTCTGTCACTGTCACCTGGAGCTGCTCCTGCTGACACCATCATTGTCACCTGGAACTGCCCCAAGTGCCGCTGTCATTGTCACCTGGGGCTGCTCCCGGTGCCATCATTGTCACCTGGAACTGCCCCCAGTACCACCATCGTTGTCACCTGGAGCTGCCCCTGGTGACACCGTCACTGTCACCCGGAGCTGCTCCTGATGCCACCATCATTGTCACCTGGAGCAGCTCCCTGTAACCCTGTCACTGTCACCTGGAGCCGCTCCCGATGCCACCATCACTGTCACCCGGTGCCACCGCCCCCCCGGACGGTCCCCCCGCCACCCCCGGGGCCTCCGGAGGGGTCTCCACTCGTGCCTGCCGTGGGGACATCCCCCCCCCCCCACTCCTGCCGGCCGGTGCGGGCCGCGTCCCCCGCTCCCCGGGATTGCTGTTTGCTGTCAGGGGGACGAGCTTTTCGTTGTCCTGGGTTAATAAACGGAACGTTTCTCAGCGCTTCGCCTCCTCCGGGGGGGTCCCGGCGGTTACCGGGGGGGTCCTGACCCCTTCCAAGCAGGCGCGCGGCGGGGCAGCCCCGGCGGCGAGGCGGAAGTGGGATCTGCGCAGGCGCAGTGCGTTCCAAGCAGGGTCGCGGCGGGAGAAGTGGGGTGTGCGCATGCGCAGTGCGTTCCAAGCAGGTGCTCGGCGGAAGAAGGGGTGTGCGCATGCGCAGTGCGTTCCAAGCAGGTGCGCGGCGGAAGGGGTTGTGCGCATGCGCAGTGCGTTCCAAACAGGCGCGCGGCGGGGCAGCCCCGGCGACGGGGGGGGGGGGGGGGGGGGGGG